AGGGTGGTTTGTGCAAGCAGGGCTGAGTTTTCCGAGGGGGCGGGAAACCGTTGGCCTTGAAAGGGCTTTCGTCCTTTTCGCACCCATAGCAAGTTAAAGGTACCTGCTGAGAACCTCAATTGGGGGGCGGGTTTCCGATACTGGCGGGTGCCTTATTGGTCCTTTTTCTAAGGGAATCCTACTCTTTTTGGGGGGCTATTTTAGGGGTCTCTGATTTTCCTAAACTCCCACAAAAGGGTTTTGTGTGCAGAGAGCATCTGGAGACGGAGGCAGAGCAAGGAATGTGCAGGCGCAATGCACCCAGCCCAGAACCTCTAACAGCCTTTGGGGCTTTTGGGCATACGGGGATTGGGCCCATGTCTAAACCCCACACCATGACTAGATAGCCACACAACGAGCTCTGCAAATTGGTGGGTGCCTTTCTAGGGCCCCTTGCATTGTGGTTGATCAAATCTATGGGTCCTTTGGGGTCTCTCTTATCGTGCCATCTTCGGTCAAGCCCCAGCCCCCCCCCCCCCCAAGTACACTAAACCGGAGCAAAACCGTCGACACGTCAAAAGCGACGCCCAGGCGGGACTTAGGGGTTGGGGTTAATCCTAAGCCCTAAACCCTAAACCCTTAACCCTAAACCCTAACGAGTCCCAGCATCTTTACAGCAGCCATGCTGAGACACAAGACTCTCTACTATCCATGCTCAGAGTCGGGCTCACATCGCCCTGCCAGGGCTGACTGCTACACAAGGTCCCTCTGTGATTACTTGAATTTAGGGTTTGGGGTTTAGGGTCTATAGGGTTTAGGGCAGGTCTCCTTCAAAGGGGCTTGTAAGTTCAGGGTTGAGGATGTCCTTGGGCCTCCCTGTGACCTACAAACAGCGCAGGGTGGCCCCTGTTTTTACCACAAAGTGGGCTCGCCAAGTTCCTCATAAGGGGCCCAACGCCAGACAAAGCAGCGGCCCAACTGGATGTAGGGGGGTGAGGGAAGCCCCAAAAAGCCGAAAAAACCCAACAACCTAAAACCCTAAAAGCACTTAACCCCAAAACCCTGAAAACAGAACCCCCCCCCCCCCAAAAAAAAAAAAAAAAAAAAACAAAACCCCAAAACCCTAAATCCCCCCCCCCCAAAAAAAAAAAGCCTAAAGCAGATCCGAGACAGTTCGGCATGTTCCCGGAGCCTCTGATGGCGGTGCATGGCTGTGGCGGGCAGCGTGGGCACTGTCCGATGTGCAGCCTCCGAGGAGCCGGGTGTCTAGGGCTTGTAGGACTTGTAGGGCTTATAAGATTTTACAGGGCTTTTAGGGCTGTATAGGGTTTGTAAGGGTTATGGGGTTCTATAGGGCCTTCAGGGTTAGAGGGCCTTGAGGGTTTATAGGGGGTTTATAGGGCTTTCAGCGTGCTGAGGGCGCATGCGTTCTTATTGCTAGAAGTTCGAGGCTACAGTGGACCAGGAGGTTTGAAAATCTCGCCGGTGATGTTGGATACCGTTGCCCCGACTAGAGACATACAGGGTGGCCCTCACAAACCAGGTGAGTTGATGATTTTTCCTAAAGGCTGCTTAGAGCAAGGGTGCTGCCAGTTAATCATTCTCTCTGGAAAGCTCGCAAATATACACCTTGGAACCCCTGAAACCTAAACCCTAAACACCCTAAAACCCAAACCCCCAAAAACACCCTAAAACTCCCTAAACCCTAAACCCCGCCAAAAACACCTTATAAAACACAAGCCCAAGGGCCAAGGGTGGTGTTGGAGTTGGGTGTGAAGGCTTCCGGGCTTCCGGATCCGCAGATGAGAGTCGAAGCGCTGTGAGGACTCAGGGTGGCTTGGGGTGCTACGGCGTTGGGGAGAGTGTAGGGCTTAGGGCCTACGACCGTCGTGCCCTAAACCCTAAACCCTAAACCCCAAACCCCAAACCCCAAACCCAGTCTGGCCCGTCACTTGGTCCCCACGCGTGCGCAGGTGGATCCTTCGCTGCAGTCGGTGCAGAGCGGCCTGGGATCCTGGTGAAAAAGACCGGGAGCTTACCTAGACCCAGGAGGCTAGGAATAGAAAGGGTGCCCTTTGTGGTTTCAAGGGGGCTTGTAAGGGAGCCCAAGCCCTGAAGGGGAATAATGGCCTAGTCTGGGTCCTAGTTACTGAGGGTCTGGTGTGCAGGAGAGGGAACTCAGAAACCGGCGTCTGAAATCGAAACCCAGCGCACTCAGACTCATAGGCGCACCCCCCCAAACAAATTGCAACACATCAGGGAGCTCTGAAACAAAAACTGAGCCTGTATGCCCAGGAAGATGGGAAGCTGCACTTGCAGGGTTTAGAAGGGATTCTCGTGTTTATCAGCTTGGGCTTTGATATCTTTAAGCCTAAAACTGTTTGTCAGCAGAAGTATTGACAGGAGAACCCATAGGGAGACTCATTGTGACCCCCAAACGGCCAAGATCATCTTATTATGCAGATTCGTCGTGTGGTGATTGGGGGGGCTCAAGGGAGAAGAAAGACCTGCACAATGGAGGCAACTCTCAACAAATCCACACCTTAAATCCTGAACCTCGACACCCTGAAGCCGCAAAAAACCCTCAACCCTAAACACGAAACCCTCGACGCAGGGCTCCATGAAACTTCACCCGATGCCTGGCCGCGCAGAGTTCGCAGGCAGGCATCGGAAAACTCCTCCCGCCGGCCAGTGATGATGACCTCTCTCACACATCGATTCAGGGCTTGGTCTCTCTAGGGTTTAAAGGGTTCAGGGTTTCAGCGCCGGAAACCCCTAAACCCGGCAACCCCAAACCCTGAAGTTCGAAGAGTTGGTGGTCCAGCGCTGTCTGGAGGCTGGGCAAAGTTATAAGACTTAACCTGGCACACCTCATGCAGCTCACAATTCAGGGTCTACAGTGTTGCGGAGGTCAATCCTCCAGCTGACTATCCCGCCTTCTTGACCGTCTGCAGGGCATGGCTGTGGCGTCTAAGGACGCTGCCCAGGCCTTGGGGGCGGCTGCAGATAACCCTAAACCCTAAACCCTAAACCCTAAACCCTAAACCCTAAACCCTAAACCCTAAACCCTAAACCCAGCGAGAGCCGGTGTCTCATTTTTGGGTGATGTCCGTTGGAAGGATGCAACGATGCAGCAGCCGACTGCCCAACTTCGCCATGATCACCCTGGAAAGCTTTAGGCCCCCACAGCCGCCAATGACGTAAGGATCGTTGCCGAAGACGCCGCAGCCCACGTCGGGGACGATGATGATCTCAGCATTTAGTACCTCGAGCAGCAAGTTGGGATCAATCTGCTGCATCGTCCCTGAGAGCTACTGTAAACACTGTCAGCCCTAAACCCGGAAAACGATGCGCATGCTCTCATTGGAGCAGTTTATGAAGCGTTTCGCCGGGCATGGTCAGGGCGGCACGTTTCATTCATGCTACGGAAACAAACGAGACTGCTAAGACCCAGCAAGGAACCACTGGGTTGCAAAACAGGCCCACAGTGACAGCTTGAAGAGATTGTTGGGCACCGTCCTCATGGCTAGTGTCCACCCCTTTTGTGGGCATTGCTGAATTGCTGAGACATCCTTTGCTTAGCAAAACGAAGCCCCCTAAACCCTAAACCCTAATCCCTATAAACACCCCCACGGGCAGGCCTCCACAGAGGCGAGAAGAGCTGCCTGCTCTGCGGCGGCATCGACAATCATTCCAGAAGAGACTTACCCACACCCTCTTCGCAAGCCCACCCCCACCCCCACACCCCCACACCCCCCCCCCACCAATAAGACATGGTTTAGGTTCCTAACGCACCTTCGACCTGCAATCCCCAGGCGTGAGGAAACCTCCATTGTAGTTTCAGATGTTGACCGTTTGAGTCGCTAAGAACAATGGCTTGCGTCTTTGAAAGCTTCAGAGCCAGCAAAAAGCAACAGAGTTTGGAGTATTCTCCGCCTGAACATATCTCCCAGAAACTTCCATTCTTCCGGCGAACCCGAATTGCCGTGGTTGGTTCACAGGGCTTCCTCCTGCATGGGTCTGTTAAACACAATGTCGGTACACAGCCTTGGCTGACCCTGGGCGAAGCAAAAAAAAAACGCACTCCAAGCCCGCAGAAAGCTTCAACCCTGAACCCAATCAATAAACCTGGCAGACCGCCCCAAGCCCCCTGAACCCTGATGCCCTAAACCTTAAACCCTGAACCCTGAACCCTAAACAACCCTAAACCCTACACTCCCTGCCTCGAGCTTCTCGCGAGTTTGTTTCAAATACTCCGCCGGATGCTCCGGGCTGTCTAAGGGGCTGTCCCGGACACGAGGGTTCCGGTTGAACCTCACCGGCGATCAGGATCCAGGTTTCGGGTCCCTAACCCTAAACCCAAAACCCTCAACCCCATAGCCATAGCCATAGGGTTTACAGGGATCATAGGCTTTCCCACATTTTGCTCAGAAACGTTCGCGTGGCGCCACTCCCCGAATTCAGACCCACCCGAAATGCTGGGCGCAAGCGCATTGCCACGGAGACCACCCCAGTCAGAGGCTGCACAGCATCGAGGAAGCCGTAGCCATCGTCTGCAAAACGCGCACGCTTTCATGTTGGGCGGGTTATGGTATCAATCTGCCAGATTCGAGCTACTCACAGCTAGTTGGACTGCTTGGAACCGTGGACCGCTTCGACAAGCTCATCTGTTTTATCTGTCCAAATGGAAATACCCTAAACCCTAAAGCCTCAACCCTAAACCCTGAACCCTAAACCCTATTTGGGAAAAGCTGGCGGCTTTCACCTTTTCTCACTGCATAGACAGGTATGCTCAAGAGCGCTCTGTAAGCCAAATGTAGCGGATAAAATACAGTCAACATCTATGCCATCAATACACTCTCATTCATGTCCAGGCTATACATAGGTGAGATTGAGACTCAACCTTCTTTCTGGCATGAATGAGCGGAAAACCGCTGTGCGTCTTGACTCGATCGCACGAAACGTGCATGCGCTGCTTAGGAGTCGCATGACTGACACACACACCCTGAGGGTCGTGTAGATCATCCTAGTTGCTTCTCCGACTGCCTCTCGATTTGATACTGACAGGCTGTCAATACCTTGATGAGGAAGTCGGGGCGCATACTCTTCGTCAAGCAATCAGCGATCATGGTGGCCGTAGAGGTCCACACAACTTGGTCACCTGCACCGGGAAAGACCTCGGTACTGCGGGTGCCATCGTCTTCGAACAACGCCTGACGCAACGCGTTCAGTTCTATTTGGAGACGTTTGTCTTGGACACGTGAAGGGACCTCCACGTTGAGGTGCTCAGACAGACTACGACAGTCTGTGAGCATCATGTGCGGAACCGTCCTTCTGGATCGGTCGTACCAATCAGCTCCTGGACTGCCTTGTCCATACAATTCGGCCAACAGAGCTCGAATTCGGTCACCTGACTCTTGCGCACTCTGTAGCGCGTACGTCTCGGCTTGGAGAGTTGCTCTGCATACTCTCTTGATTGTCGTTGATCCAAAGCTGATCAAGGCAACATCGAATACGCAATTGCCTGGCGTGGTCAATTGCTTCCTTGGAACTAGGAAGTGAATACGTCCCTGCTGGGATCGTAAACCTGGCTCCCCGGCAAAACTGGCATCTGAGGCGGTTAAAACTCCCAGATCCATAAAGTCGAAAGGACCATTTTTGTACCGGATGCAGAAATCTTTTCCTGCAAGAGCAATTTCAAGACATTTGTTAGCCTCCTTAAGGATAGCTACGGTGGCTCCCTTAACCTTGGACTGCAAATACGAAACTTTGTACAGGATATCCGGCCTGCCTTGTCTGGCTATCCAGCTCAGACTACCCACTACGCTACGCAGTTGACGTTCTTCACCTTGCGTGATCGGGTCCGAAGATTGTCGGCCCTTCGCTATGTCGATATACGTAGTACGGCGTGTGTTATCGCTAACGTCGATAACTATGTCCTTGCCGGATTGGTCAAATTGCTTCCCGCAAAATCGGAGTCTCTTGATCTCCTTTCTGCCGATTTCGAACCTTTCTAAGAGTCGATTCATGATTTCATCACCAGTGGGGGTTGATGCCCAAAGAAAATCGTCGACATGAGTGGTAAGTAAGAGATCTACTTTACTACCCGTGGTGTGGTAGTAAAACGCGGGAAAAATGCGCGACGCATTAAGACCTACGTCTTTTGCGTCTTTGTCTACGCGCTTCCAAAACCCTCTCCCACTGTCTTGGAGTCCATAGACAGGAACGCGAACTAACAACATCGCTTCCGGGTCTACGCCCGGGAGTCCCCCTCGGGGTTGTCGCATCAGCACTATGCGATCTATTGGGAGAGCCTGGAAGTAGGCATTTTTGATATCGGAGCCCTGCACAGGTACTCCTTCTGACGCTGCGAATGCGCACACCATGGCGTGGGTTTCAATATCCGATGTGGGCGAATCGGTCCTCACTCCACACTCGCCTTCAAAGTTGCCACAAGCAACCATGCGGGACTTGAATTCTGGATCGAATGATTCCAGGTGCTGTTCGTGGATGTTTTTGACAGTGTCAACCCACTTAGAGGGCAATGGAACATGTCCCTCATCCAATAAGTCCTTTAGGATCTTACCGGTTACTGGAATCGCCGCTTGGAATGATTCATACTTCATCCATTCCTTCTTTCTAGATTCATCGATCTTGCGCTGGACAGCGGGTGAACAGTCATAGTAGTTGAGGCTGCCTGGAAGGGACTTGGCTTCTTCCTTTGAAATGTTTGCCGCGCGATTCGCCATAAAGGCTATGAACTTAGCCCGCGGTCGGGCTTGAGTCGCACTCAGCGCCGTGTTTTGGTCGCTGACAATTCTAGGTGGCGTCGCTTCCGCATCCCTTACGTGCTGGAAGTGCTGCCGCAGCTGCTCAGGCAAATCGTCCTGTACATCATACGACGGCCTCCGACTTCCACCTGGAGTCCTCTCTTGCTCAGGCTCGGCGATGCTAAGCCGACGAGACCTAGAACTCTGAGAGGTTCCTAAACCACTAGATCCTCTGATCCTTGGTCCACTCGAACTATTGGGACCTCGGTTCCTAACCCCAGGTGGTGATCTAGAGCGCGGGTGCTCCTCGTCTTCCTCTAGGATAGATGGCATGGGTCCATCACTGGGGCCCTCTTCAAGTGTCACATCTGGCGCTGGATCGTGATCCCCGGTTGGTGCTGGTTCACGATAGTCGTCGAACCCTTGTTGATCCTTAACAATTTCCTCAGGGATAATTGCATTCCCATGAAGGATATTAAAGGCCAAAGCCTCTGCGTCCGTTGCTGGTCGCAGGTTTTGCGCAGACGCCAAAACTGGAATGTTTTCGCAAAGCAACCAAACCGATTCCTTGCTACGCCCTTCAAAACCAATAACCCTAGACGCAGGAGACCACGATGTCTTCCCAGCCTTGGTGCGCCTAAAGGTTACTACGTCGCCCACCTGGTAATCTCCAGGAATCGCTCTCGCGTTGCGCAAAAGAGCGCGCTGAACTCGTTTAGAGGTGTCCAGCTGGACGAATGCTTTCTTCGCCTCAGCACGAACCATGTGTTGGAGCGCGAAAGCGGACTCGGGATCGAGAGAGTCCTGAATGGCTCCTAGATCTGCGTGCCCATCCTCACTAAGGATAGATGGTAGTTCACGCGGCGCTCGACCCAGCACCCATTGAGCTGGCGAGTAGCCTCCCTGTCTGAGTAGGCTGTTCTTTGTCAGGCAAGTCTCATCAAGTACTTGCTGCATTTCCAACCAACCCCGCGGTTGAGTTTGGCTGATGACCTTGCGGGCCATTCCTTTGATGATCCCGCCGTGTCTCTCCACTCGGCCTATGGCTTCGGGTGTTTCGAGCGGCGCGTGTGTAACATCCACTCCGTGCGCGGCCATGTACCTTGCTAGGACGCCGCGGTTGTGCAATCCGCGATCACATTTTAGTGCTTTGGGGTGACCAGCCCAAGTGATCCACCTCCTCTGTATGGCCTCGAGGCACTTTGCGCTTGACGCTTGACCGGGACCTTGTCGAACAATTTCGGCTAATTGGAAACATGTCCCTAAACAGATCATGTTTAGGACCTGAAACTTGGTTCCTGTAGCGTCTGTGACTTCTAGAAGGTCAATACCGAGAGTGTGATTGAAAACGTAGTTTTCGGGCAACGACGTGCTGTGCGCGCTACGTCTTGGCGCGTTCTCCTCGCACTCATTGCAGCGCAACAAACGCAGTCCATCTAGATACTGCGGGTCGACCTTCGCTGCTCTGAGAAGGTTTAAGAGTACCTTTCTCGGCGCATGCCCGAATTGTCGATGCAAACGCCTGATGGCAACTCTCACGCGCTGGGGTAACTTCCTCCAGCCGGCTCGGCGTTCGGCCTCGCCTCTAGGCAAACCTGGCACCTGAACTTCGTCTAGTTCAAGGTCCTCTTGAATGGCCTCTTCTCCTGGGTCCATTCTTGCTACATCATCTTCGTTTTCAACGGAATCGAAGGTTGGAAACTCGCTATCATCAATCTCGCCATCGTCCCATACTGGGTACGATGTTGCCACAAGTGAAATTGCAGCATGGTCATTGGCATAATTGATCAACCAACCCAAAAAGTCACTAGAAAACAAATCCCAAAAACTCCTGGGTCCCATGGTTGGATAGCCTTCACCGGTCCATCCCTCAAATGCATCTGCTATTTCCGAATTATTGGACACATAGCTCACATCACCATGTCCTATGTCTGGGTACATGGGAACAGAGAAATACCCCCAACGTTCAGTGTCGGCAACGTCAGCTATCAGGTAGTCTGACCCTGAACACTCACAGTGGGCTATGACCTCGTCCACAACTTCACTATGATTGAGTCCCGGTTCCTGGTACTCAATAGCTACAACCACTAAACTGGGGCTAACCTCTTGAAGGGTCCTACGAATCCCTTCGGCCTCCCACGGCTTCATCGCGTCCAATCCGACGTCGATGACACGGATGCCGGACTCCTGAAAGGCACGAGGCTTCGAGGTAATTACTAGTGTGTGAGCAGGTCCCTTCACGGGTTCGGACACGGTGTTGCAAAGATATCTTAAGGCCTTATCATGGTCCCTAAGGGCTTGGAGACCTTGGTGCACGGTTCTCCTACGGGCCTTGGACAGGACTGCAAGGTTGCATGCTGGGGTGAAGTACTTGGCTCCAGTGGGAATACTGACACCCGACCCCGAACTCCCTGAAGAGGCAGAGGAGTCCGAGGAAACCGACCTAGTTCGCTTTCTACGGTCTGGTGCAGGAGGAGGCGTAGGTGGTTTACGGGCAATGTGGGCACTTGGCTCTTCACTATCTAAACTCTCCACAACTGGAAGTTGGGAACCCTGCAGCGGACAGTCCATGTACCCTCGGCGCGGTCGCACGTCTCTGTTTCTAGGGTCTCGGCTAGGATCCCTACTGTGGCCACGACTGTGCTGACGTGAGTAGTATCCTTTATCGCTCGTTCCGGGTCGATAGTTTGGATTGTACGTGCGCCTGCCTTCGGCACTGGCGCTGGGACGACGCAAACTTTGCCCATATGGCCTGGCCTCGCCTCTATAGGTCGAGACCCGAGGGAAGCCGCCGGTGTGGTCGGCCGCCCTCTGCTTCTGACTTCGGGCCAAAATGATGAAGCTGTCGCCGTCCCCCAGTTCTGCGGCATCGATGGTGAGCGCCGCGCGCATGTCCACATCCCTCTGGATTATGGAAAACGTGCGCTCCGCACCGCGGAACAGGAAGACGCTTTTGGTGAAGTCGTCTAAGGCGTTGTCCCACCGGTGCACAAACGAGTGGTCTTTGTGAGCCACCCAGAAACGGATGTTGTGCTTCAGGGTGCATTGCATCCCTTGCTCTTTGGTGGCCGGACCGATCCACCCGTTACTGTTGTACCTCGCCGGTTTCGTCCTCCTAAGGATGGACGCGACCTTTGTAAGATCGGGGAAGCTAAGGTTGGCTGCCCATGGCCTATTGTGGTCCAAGGGTCCTTCCATACCATCTACCACGGGGAGTGGCTCCACCGGCGTCTGCGTAGACCCTCCGCCGGCGCCAGGCTCGACGGACGCCTCGCCATCCCTAGGGGTATGACCTGGCGTTGACGCAGGTGTCTCCAACTCTCTGGCCTCACGCTCCTCCTCGTCGGGCTCCTCCTTGATGCTCGGTCCTGCTGACGTAGAGCGGGGGCCACTTCGACCAGGTCTCATGGATCCCGATCTCTCTCGGCCTCTGCGATCGTCTTTTGATCGATCGTCTCTGGATCGGCTCCTAGACTCGTCCTTGGAGTCATACGACTCAGAACGGGATCTAGGTCTCCGTTCGTATCGCTTGACCACCTCCAACTCCTTCTCGGCAGCGATGGCTCGAGAAAGCCAACTTTCGCCAGAACTCTTTGCCTCTCGAAGCTCAGTTTCAAGAGCAACCAGTCTGACTTGGAGGTGTTCATTTGCTGCTTCCTGCCGGATGCAGCGCTCTCTCCAGTACCCCACGTCATTCTCCATCTCTGCAGGCGGTGCCTTCGGAACGATAGACGTGGCAGATACTGCGGGAGCCTTACTGGTAGTGGATGCCTTGCTGGAAGACGCCGTAGCGGTCGTCTCCGTCGTCTCGTCGCTGTACCAACCACTGGCGCGTAGTCCAACCTTGCCGACACCCTTGAGCTCTCTTCCGACTTCACCTCTGGCGTGAGAGCCATCGCCGGCGGTGATGGTGGCGATGGAACTGTCGGAGATTTCGACGGCGGCGGCAACGGCGGTTGCCTTGGTGCCGCCGGCGGCGGCGGTGGTGCTGGCTTGTTGCTCGGTGGCCAAATAGGTCCACCTTGCATTGGCACCGGCAAAGACCCACTTACCCAGACACCTGGATGCAAGGCACTGGGGGCCTTTGCCCTAACAGGAGGCACCGAACTGGTTGCCCCTCCACGTTGGCCGGCATCTGCTCGGCCTGCTGGTGGCGCACTGCGCCCACGGTTCTGGTGACGATTCGCCTCGTCGAAGCCCTCGAGCGCATCCAAGAGGGAGTTGGCATGCTTTCCGAGGTTCACCAGACCAGGCTTGGAGAACTCACCGCAGTCGCTGCATCCACCTCCACACACCATGCCTTTCCAACTAGTGATGGCGTTCAGGTGAACGAGAAGATGGTCCTCGATCCCTTTTGCCAAAAGACACGCCGCTAGGGTCGTGCCAAAGGCAACTGACCTGTGCCGATTGCTGGTGCAAAATGCTACCAACGCAACTTTTTCGCCGCGTTTGTAGTGGTCTAACAGATCCACCAGGTTTTTTCGCAGCAAGCGTTGTCCTGCCTCGGCGTTGACCAGGCCCTTGATGATTTCTGGGTGCCTACCGATGTGGTCATTCCAAGCACCATTTGCAGGGTCGCTTAGATCCCTGAGGTCCTGGACGATCAGCGTGTAACCATCCCGGAACACCTGAGGTACTCGATCCGCCCAATGGATCGGATCCCTCGCCCTTTTCCCCCACCAGCCGTCTTCCTTGTTCATGTAGTACTTGATCCCGCAGGACAAGATGACTATCGGCGGTGGAGTTGTGAACGTTTTGGGCCGAACTTGGTCCCAGAGCATTCCACTTTCCAAGTACTCGTGGTAGTCGACCTCCCGTGGCACTGCCATGGCTTTGGATTGGCCCGAAAGGTCCAACCCAGTGCAAGCAGGATGGCCCGATGGGTCCAACCCGTCACAACTACCAACAAGCTCAGGGGGCGACTTACGCTGTGGAGTCTGTGAAGTCTGTGAAGGTTGAAGTTTGCATTCTCTTACACACTTCGGGAACTCATTTCCTCTAAGGGTAAATGATGACAGGTTGACTAGTAGTAAACCTGTATCCTTGCACCGAGCAAGACGAAGCTCGTGCTTCTCCCCGTCTGAATCAGTAAGCCAGCAGCAACAGGAGCGCATGTCCTTAACCAGGCCTAAAGTGCTCTGAGCAAACAGGCTTATCAAAAGAGGATTGTGGGCATCGGTGTCTACCTCATGGGAGTCCAGCACGCCCGCCAGGGTCCTACCTTGATCTCCCAGCTCAAGACAGAAAGGCAGCTTACGCTTACCCAGGGTCCTGGAGGTGGCACCTAGACCCGAAAAACTCTTAGGGTTGCTATCTAGCCAGGGAAATTGGAATCCGTAGGCCTTAAGGCGGGCTTCAGTCTGGATAGCCCAGGTCCTACTGTGGCACGTGGAATTACACCCTTCATCCAAAGCTCCCCACACATCAGGTTCATCGGGGCTCCAGAGGTCAACCATGGGTAAATTGTCTAGATGAACGATGTCAGTGGAGGCTGCGTGGGCATGCCTAGGACCACTAGACCCTTTACCACCCAGATTCGCGTGGCTCCTCTGCAAACTCGCCGTCACAGCGTCGCTCGGGTATCCACCTCGAGCTCGTGGTTGCTGTTCCTCTGTGGGCAGGACAGGAACTAAACCACTACTTGAGGAGGGTTCGGGATCTGGCTTGCTATCCCTTGAGGAAACCGAACTCTCGCTACTCCAAATCTCGGTTAAGGCCGCCCTACGGGTCGGGGTGCACTCGAGATAAGGATCGTAGGGGTCGTAATCAGGAAATGCTAGGGAATCATCGATAGCCTCGTCGGGGTCTATCTCGGGCAATTGGCCTAAACGGGTCCAACCTTGCTCCGGCCCTACAGGATCCGGAACTTGCGGTGACTCAGGACGAGCCTGCTCAAGGTCGTCCAACGTCAGGCTCAGGTTGATGCCTGTGGACGGTGCAGGTGCTGGGTCAGCCCATTGTGCTTCAAGAATGGCTATACCTAATCGGTCATGACCCATAAGGAAAGCATCCTCCCAGGCTACACAATGATCCTGCCAATTAACACCTTTAACCAGTCTCTCCCATCTAGAAAGAACTCTTTCTTCCTTTGTAAGGTCCGTTGGGTCTATGATTCCAACATGGCCAACGCGGGACCAGGAATCCGGACTGTCACCAGTGGGCTCTAAGGCATCAACGATTGCCTCGCTAAGGCGACTGTGTAAAACAGACGGGGCGACGCGCATCCCCATCTCTATCATGGTGGTCACAGAGTCATTGAAGACACCCATGATGAGTTCCACATCGTCGTGCTCAAGGTCCCTTGACTCACCGGCAATCTGTGTGTTATGCATCACAGATAAAGAGTCTACAGTGGCATTGAGCATACGATTTGCCGCATCTCGACGTCGGCGCTGGAAGTCAGCCGGAACCTCATCTATAAACGTTCCGCATTGTTTGCAAATGCGGGCATGTCTCTGGGTCGTTGGTGTATGAGACCTCTCTGGGTTCTCGCGTGACCTTTCCGCAGTCTCTACAGGTACTGCGCAGCCAGTTCATGGTAGATCCTGCGTGCGTAAAATCCTTGCATCCTTGGACGCAAGGCTCCAATGGTGGGTTCGGCGGTACCTTCTTTCCGCCCTTGTTCTTGACACGCGGTACATAGGTTCCTTCAGGGATACCTATGCTGGCTCGGGTGACAACCTCGTCGCCCTCGATCACATAGTAGCGATTGAACCAGGCTAAAAAGTCTTGGAGTTGGCGACTAGGGTTCACCTGAACCTGTGCCCATTGAACAACAGCTGGAAGCCGGGCAATCTCGTTGTAAGTCTTCCCCTTGTACTGACCAAGGTAAAACTTACGATCTCCGCCTTCCATTTCCATCGGAATAGGCATTGGCGCCGCTGACGCTACAGCTGCACTTCGGCTAGCTGCGCTTTTGCTTGCGGCAGCGCGAACGACAAAGCCAGAGTGGTCCTTGTCTGGCGCTTCCGAGGGAATGACCAGACCTTCCTCGCTGGATAGGACCGTTACGGCGACGTGTGCTGCCTTGCCTGCGGCCTTGCCTGCAGGGAACTTGCACTCAGGGTCACCAGCCCAATGGCCGATACCACCACATCTCATGCATCGCGACTTTGCCTTAAGGGCTTTGAGTTTGTCCCTTCTTTGCTCCAACGTAAGGTGACTTCGGACCACCTTACCCTTGCCCTTGCCTTTGCCCTTGGATCTGTTCTTGCCCTTGCCCTTGGCCTTGCCGAAGGCTGCGTTGGCTGCCAAGGACAACTGGATGGCGTGTCCTACCTCGGGAGAATCCTCGAGGAACTGCTCCATGGCGTTGAGGGCGATGGCCTCGTCCTCATCCAGCTCATATTCCTCGAACTCTTCTTCCTCGGCAGGGGGTTCTTCCTCCCAGCTCTCCTCAGCAACAAAGGCTTCTTGGGCAAAGTAAGAGTCCTCTTCTGGGTACTCCTCTTCCTGCTCTAACTCGCCTGCGTCTTCGTCGATCGCAGGGAAGGCCTTGCGGGTAAAACCTTTACCCTTAGACCGATTAGATCCGTAAGATCTAGGACCATAACCCTTGCCAGTGTTACGGTAAGGCTGGGGGTTGCTGCCTCCCAGCGCGCGGCCTTCGCGCAGATGAACACCTGTGTAGTGCTGCACCAAGGTGTTTGCTATCTGCTCGAACTTCTTCGAGATAGCCCAGAGAGCTCTAATAGTAGCTCTACGCGCATCGGCTCAGAGAGCTCGATGCTGGCATCCAGGGTTTTCAGGAGATTCCACCACCTCCGTCTACGGGAGATGTAACTCAGCATGCTTTCCCCTGCCTGCCTGGACAGGGTCCCTGGCCTCTGTCCCGCCCGGAACAACTCTCGGGCTTCCTCTGTCGCGCGGGGGAACACTACCTCCCGCATTCGTTCGATGAAGCTTCGAAGTCCCCCTGGAGCAGTTAGGGCATCTACACCGATGTCCCTCGCGAGTTCGAAGGCCTCGTCTCTGAGGCCTTCGAGAACACGGTGTACCATTTCTGTTCTTGCCTTCGTGCTCGAGGGGAGTCCTTCAAGGTACTCGAACGAAATGGGCTTCGCGGATTTGCCCGACTTCTTCGACCTCCGACTTCCCGCGCTGAGCTGGGAAAGCTTGTCGAAGTACTCGTCTGCTCCGCCTGGATGCAGACCTCCTTCTTCTTGAGGGCCTTCATGCTCCTCATCGGCTGTGTCCGCGGCCTCTGGCTCTCGGACGTTGTGGTCTGGGTCAACTTCTCCCTCCAGACCTGCTTCGGAGTCTCCTCGGGTACTCCTGGCTTGGGACGCTTTCGACCGAATAGCGTCTTCGTAGAGTTTCAGGCGCAGTTCCGTCCTGAACTTCCAGTCGTAGAACGTCGAGGGATCCCCATTGTAGATGTAGGACCCGGACTTCGTCTCGGCCATATGGCTCGAGCTTGCGCTGCCCCTAACATAGCGGAGACCTGCAACGGACATGCCGGAGGAAAAAGCTCAGGGGAGCAGTGGCGGCTCCGATGGGACGAAAGCACGCCAAGGAAGGCCGGCAACCAAAGGGGTGCCACAGAGGGAAAGGCACAGGGCCAAGGTCAAACAGAGGAGTGTTTGAGAGAAAGAAAGGGAGTGCAAAGCAAGAGGGTCGAACTTGCGGGCTCGCCCAGGCCCGGACCAACACAGGCTAAAGCCACGCGTCGCAGGTGGCTATGCCTACCTGCTCCGCTACCAGTTTGGGAAAAGCTGGCGGCTTTCACCTTTTCTCACTGCATAGACAGGTATGCTCAAGAGCGCTCTGTAAGCCAAATGTAGCGGATAAAATACAGTCAACATCTATGCCATCAATACACTCTCATTCATGTCCAGGCTATACATAGGTGAGATTGAGACCCTAAAAGGCCCTAAACCCTAAACCCTTATAAACCCTAAACCCTAAACCCTAAACCCTAAACCCAATTCTTGCATGTAGGACATGAGCTCTGGGCAGATTGAACGATGTTGGGAGAGCAGCTCTTGCCATGTACGTATGGATGATTTGTGGGTCTGCAGTCCGAACATAAAAGCTAAGCACCGAGCTCAAACAAGCCCGCTCTGTCTGCAGGAAGCATCGGAGGGTTTTTGGCTGTAACTATCGTCACTTCTCCTGGCAAAACATATTCAATGGACAATGCTTATTGCCAGTAGAATAGCTTCATCCAGAAACCCCTCGAGCCGCGAAAACCCAGAGTCTAAGCTCCAACCATTTGATCATTTTATCATCATCATATGGGGCTTTCCGACTTTTGGAATACCTTATTGGGGTCCTGATTATAAGGGAATCCTACTATTTGGGGTCTATATCAGGGGCCCCTTGATTTCGCACACCCCCATATGGGTGGTTGTCAAAATCATGGTCCCTTTTGGGGTCCCTAATATAATAATACGGCACCTAAATATATTAAGTTGTCCAAAAAGGGACCCCAATTTTGACAACTACCCATATCCTTAGCCCTCCACTACCCTAAACCCTAAACCTCCACTGAAACACACCCTCAGCCCGACCTGTGGGCTCTCGGAAGACCTCCACCAATGGAGAGACAATGCACCTGCCCAGGTTTAGGCGCTTCGGGTGTATGGGGGCCTCAACCCCCTAAGGAATCCCTAAACCCTAAACCCCTAAACCCTATAACCCCAAAACCCTAAAGAAGCCCTAGACTTCCTTAACCCATAGCATCCCGAAGGGAGCACCCGTTGACAGGGATGTGCTGCCGGTAGCCGGGCAAACCTCCTGCGCTGGGTTGGGTTGGGCTGCAGGCTTCGGGCTGAGACTTCGGTCTTGTGGATTCTTGCGCAGTTTGGGTGTCCGCGGGGCGACCCGTTTCAGCTAATGGGGCTCTTGTGAGGAGCAGGGAGTGGGGCACACATGGGCAGTCGTGAGGTAGGAATGCCATAGACAATTTTGCTTGTCGGGTTGACCCCGAATTAAAGGCCCTAAATTGTTGATCCTTCCATTTAGGCTAAATCATCTGGGAGCCTCGTTTGACTGTATCGGGGCGAAAAAAGACGGGTATCTCACGCCCAAGTATCATCACGTCAACTCCCCATCCTGAGGACCCTCAAGCTTGCAAGCCCTGCCTCAACCCCGCAAAAGCCACCCCTAAAAAGCATAATCCCTAAGCCTTAATTCCCCCCCCCCCCCCTGGGCACTTAACCAAAACCCCAACCCCGGTGAACACGAGCTCCTGTCTTCAGGGGCTCAACCGAGGCCAGTGACTGGTAGAGGCTCGAGCTGATACACCACGCCTGGTACAGGGTTTAGGGTTCATAGGGTTGTAAGGGTTGTGAGGGTTACATAGGGTTATCGGGGTTCTAAGGGTTGAGGGTTATGAGGGTTAAGGGGTTGGAGCGTGGGTCTGAATCGGGCTCTTGGGGTTGTAGCGTTCAGGGATTGACTTCCTAGTGGCTCGGTAGCCTGCCGGATTGGCTCAGCATTCCGTGGGTGGGTCTACTTTAGGCCCAACTTACAAGCAACCGCCACCTGTATGAACGGGCAGATGCCTTCAAAGAACCCCAACCCTTCCGGGGTTCGGGCTGGGGGTTCGGGGCCATCAGAACAATTCTACGTCTACATCTTCCCCCTTAAGGACTCTATGACGTTCACAACAGCAAAGCATCACTGCTAAAAGGACGATCGTTTACAAAGGTCCCAGAAAAAGAGAGACTTAGTAGCCCAGTAACCATATTATAATGAGGGCGCCTTTTCTTGGGTTGGTTACTTTATAAGGCAACCCATAACCAAAAACACGGTAAAGGGTACCACTTGGCTCCCCATGACTCCCTCAATCCCTCCTCCTCCAGCGCATGGCGCCCGCCGGTGCTGGCGCCACCCCCAACCTGGTCAAACTCCTAAGCCCTAAACCTAAACCCTAAAACCCTCAACCCCAAACCCCACACCCTAAACCCAAAACCCACCTGTGTATAGGAAAATAGTTAGACAGGACGGGCAAGCTTGGGGTTCCGCTAAGCCCCTCCAAGTGTGACTCCTGTTCCTTCTTGGCTACAACAGTGGCTGGTTGATAACAAGAGAGGGCATAGGGCTTAGGAGTTCCCCCGAAAAGAAACGCGAAGCTACTGCGGGAGCCTTACATAGCTGCCCCTGAAAGTTTCTGAAACGTTCAGAGGGCAATGCTGAGTGCGTTTTGAATTTTGGGGTTCGGGTATTCCCTGAATTGTTTTGGGGCTTGGGATCTCAAATTTTCCGGGGGCCTGCGCATGTTCTTGTAAGCACAAGCTGCAGCCGATAAACACATGAACCCCGGAACCTTCTGAAAAGGACGAAGTTTAGGAGTTACGGCAGGGTCTACCACAGATGCATCAGGGCCCTGTACCAGCACCAATACAGACGGCTTCTGAGTGAAAAAAGACAACTCACCCTGCACACCTTAAAGCCCCAAGCCCCTGAACTACGGGCTTCTGAAGCTAAAGCCCACACCCACACAAACACACGAACGCACACCACAACAAAACAAACGCCTGGTAGGCCGAGGCGGCATTGACCGCCGCAACCTGGAAACCCGCCTGCATGAAGTGTCCGGCCACCTCGAGCTTTCACATCGGGTTTAGGGTTTAGGTTTAGGGTTTAGGGTTTAGGGTATAGGGTTTAGGGTTTAGGGCTTAGGGTTTAGGGCAGCGCTTGGCAGGTGCAAAGCAGGATTTTGTTTGTTGTGGGGTGTTTAGGTTGAGGCATTGCAGGGCCTCAGGCTGTTGCGGCTCTAGTTTCTCAAAGCCTTCGCTATCTGTGGCCTGTACATAAACACGACACCCTATATGGAGGGGGCTTGGCTCTCGGAGATTACTGGGCTGGATGGGCGAAGCCATAAACCCTGTAAGCCTGATCCCGAAGCCCTAAACCACATTCACTCATTAAACCCTAGAGTCCATTCAATGCCCTGAGCGCTGAACCCTGGAATCCTCAGGCACCTGGGATGACTGCCTCGAGCCTAGATCCGGATTCGATTCTGTTACACACGGCGGGGGGTGGTAGCCGTAGGTTCCCTCCCTCTCTCTCTCTCTCTCTCTCTCTCTATAATAAGGCCCATCAAGCCACTCTGCACCAGCCATGTTTGATTCTCAAACGCCCCAAAATTTCATGAACTCAGTGCCCCGGACTTCCATGACCGTTTCGCCGATGGTCTCATCCAGATCCTGCGCCAGCGACATTCAGGCGTGCCAAAGGGAGGTCGGCCCTTGAATAGGATGTAGGGCTACTAGGGCTGGCCAGGGTTTAGGGTTTAGTGCTTGGGGCTTGGCAGGGTTTAGGGTATTCCTGTAGCCGGGCGCATGTCTCCCCGCTTTCGGATGTGTTTCGTGTTCGGCTCATGCGTGCGATTGCCACCCTAAACTCTTATGGCACCCTTGAAAAAAAACAGCCCATTCCAAGAAACGACAGCATTAACTAGTTCATGGCTAGGATAGTATTAAAAAATAATAAATATAAATATAGCTATAATCATAAATATGAATATGAATATAAATATATAAAAATTTAAATATATAAATATATAAATATATAAATATATATCTATATATATATTTCTATATCTTATTGAGCTTAAGTACCCGTAAAAAATGTAAAATGTTACCCCACTATGACAAAGATAGCTTCATCTTCGGCCAGTTCCCGGCATGTCCGTCTTTTTCGGGGCCTCCCAATTAGAGTCTCAAACCCAATCGCACGCCTGCGCAACGTGGGCTGCCGGTTGTTCGGAAGCAATGTCACATATCCCGAGTGGGGTCCTCTAGACGGGAGGTCCGTGTCTATATCTCGCACACACACACACACACAAACCCTACGAGCCCGAAAGCGCTCATAGAAGCCCTAGATCCCCACCCAGAAAAAAGTCCTGGGTTCGGGCTCTAAATGCCCTTTGAATGCTTTTTGAAGGATGCTTAGCCAACCTGAAGTCGGGGCCTGAAGCGTGAGGACTTCGAAGGTCAAGGACCTGTTCTTTGGCAGTCTTTGCGTCTGTATACGATGTCGCAGGTAGAAGGTATGAGCCCCTGAGCTGAATTTGGTATAGTAGGGCCCCCTCCCTACAGGGTTCAGGGTGTCATACAGTAGCCCAAAAAATACCTTTCATAAGCTACAACAGACACTACTCAAGATGACCATTGACCAGGCCCCTGATATTCTGTTCATGGTCTTGAAGTTTCGGGTGCAGGGCTTTCTTTTGATTTCGGCCTGAGCGGTCAAAGCGATTAGGTCAAGTGAGCCCCCTGCCAAAAGAAACAAAAATCAAACTACACTGAGGCTGATCCAATCCTGGGCCTTTGGTTTGAGGTACTCCGAAATTGTTAGAAATGGCTTGTAAAGTTCGAGATTTTAATCTTGGTAGAGTCGGTAGAGCTTAGCGGGACCCTTAACACTTTGATTCCCCACACCCTAAACTTTTAAC